CTCATTTTAGGGGATCCAATGCCCTCTTCTGGACTTCCGGGCACCTGCACTCACACACACATACATACACATAGGCACACATGTATATATAGTTAGAAATGAAATCTTTATTTCTAAAAAGAGTATGCTTCATTCAGTTCTCAGTTCATTCTGATCATTAAGTAATTCACATAAGTTACCTCTCGAGACCTGTGTCCCCAGCAGTCAAGTGAAGCTATCCATTGCTGTTTCAGAGTTGTTGTGGAACATCTGAAGTAAAGTTCTTTCAATGAAAGCATCTAGTAAAGTGGCTAGTATATAGTAAGGCATTAATAGCTTTTATTGGGAACACCGACAGAAGGAAAGTCATGGCAAAGAGCCTAGGATAAGTCAAATCAACAATATCCCTCCCTTGTGAATGGACTATTTACACACAACAGTTCGGATCAATCAATTTCATGACCAGTATGATGTTGTTAAGCCACTTGTTTTCACAACAGCAGAAAAAAACCTGAGTTTACTATGCACATATGCTGTATTGTTTGCTATTACTATCTCATTTAACTCTCATGACACTCATAAAAGGCACTATTAACCCCATTTGAGAGATCAGAAAAGCCAAGCAAAACAAGGCTTGGGTCATTTGACTAGTGATCGACAAAGCCAGGACTCCAAGGGAGGCTGACTTCAAAGCCCTAAAATTAAAGCAGCCTGTTGAAATAGGACATTGCTCACTTCGTTAAACATCATGTTCGCAAAATCATTTGTGTGTACCTGCTACAGTTTAAAGCACCATGCTAGGTTGGTGACTCTTAAATTTTACTGGGCAGAACAATCAAGGGGCAGAGTCCTAAGACATAGATTTTGGTTCAGAAGCCCAGGGCAGAATAAAGGATCTGCTTTTTAATTTTAAGTTTAGTCGATTATGACTCATTTGTTCTGTGAACTATGCTGGCTAGCTTCAAGATTCTACGGTGTTAGAGCCTCCCGATTTCTGGGTATTTCTGAAACACGAATGCAAGCACAAGACTTCACATGAGAGAGGGCATATAAAAGGAAAGGAGAAAGAACAGGATTTGACAAAGGAAGGGATCCCGTAACCCTCTTAGAGGCAGAGAGAGGCTCAGTGGACAGTAATCTGGGTGGGAAGACTATCTGTTTTGGGAAATGGAACGATGGTCAGAAGAACACTGAGGAAAGCTGGAGAAGGCCCTGAGCGTCAGCCTTACACCAGGTGCTTTTCCTAGTGCCCGCACGGGAAAGCTCCTGGCTAATGGTTTTTGTGAAGAGAAAAAGAGTAATGGCAGCCACATTTTCTGTAAGAGTTTTCGCTCACAAGGCTGGGTAAGATCAGGTGGAATCAGAGTATCACACATCAAGGCAGCTGGCCTACCACAGATCTAAGCCCCAAGAGAAAAATCAGGATATGGCCTCAAAAGGCAACTCCGTGATAAAATGCATGCAGGGCACGGCTCAGGAGTACTTCTCAACCCTGAAACCCAAACTGTAGCACTGTCAGCTCCAAGTTACTTTTCAGAACTCTTCCTGGAGCTGGGGATAGTGTTCATTTGCCTAGCATGGGAGAAGCCCTGGGTTCAGGCCCTGGTACTACTGGCACAGGTGGGGTGGGTGTACAAGTTGTTATCTTATATAACTGGCTGGACCCAAAATCTAAATAAACACTCACTTTCACAAGATACAGTTCGGAATAAGATGTGAGCAGACGGACCTCTGAGTAATCTACATACATGTTACACCATTTAATTCTAACACACACACACACACACACACACACACAAAACATTATTCAGAGCAACACAATCTCATTTCTCACAGTATTCTAACAAGCATCAGATGTCCAACTTCCAAACCTTCAGCAGTTTGGATGCAAACAATACAAGGGCAGAAGAGCCTTCTATTGATTAGAGGGTCAAGAGGATGAAGAAACACTTTAAAAAGGACACAGGATCCAACCCAGTGAATTCAAAATTGTTTATTCACGTGTACAAGTGATTCCAAGAAAAACGAAATGAATGAAGACCTTCCTTAGCCATCCCAACACCTGCTACAAAACAATCTTTGTAACAAGCAATATTTAGCTGGTGAGAAGAGACAATGTTTAAGATGGTTCACACATGCTGACCCAATCCTTCCCAGCAGCAGCCACACCACAGCCAACAGTGAAGGCAGCAGGCCTGTTTCATAAGCCCCAGTCTGCTGGTGGCCTGTGCTTCCACGCGTCATCTACAGAAGATGGGCTCCCCGGACAAGGTTTAACTTGGGCAACTTCTCCTAGTGACAGTGCCCCTCAGTTTCACCTTTATCTTAAGTGTACATCCTGTCACTGGTTACTGAAATGAGGCAACATCCAGTGGCACGCCACATCCCGCGGCAGCAGGCTGTGTAACAACTTCCAAGGGAAGCAGCAACCTATGAAGGGCCCTCGCTTTGTTCATCCACACCTATCAACGGTTATTAGGAATTAATACTGTGTCTCTGAGGAGTTCCTCTCTTTTGTGCCGATACACAAGTGTGTTTGCAGATGTGATAGCCAGCAATGGAAGTCAGCCATCTTCCTTGTGTTTTGAAACAATCTCTCACCAAACCTGGAGCTCACTGAGTCAGCCCCTGGGATCTTGCCACCTTGACTCCCCAGTAAAGCTGGGATAACAAGTGTGCCACTGTACCCAGATTCTCTAGGAGGGTGCTAGGGACACCGGCCTTCACGCTTACACGGCCACACGTTTACTCACTGAGCTACCGCCCAGCCCTTCATCTCTTCTGTAAACATTAAAAAAGTACCTTCCTAGGAGAAAGTTAGGTATTATCTGACTAAAGGTCATACTCAAAACTGATGATTAAGTTCAACGTGTACACCAACACACGGACTTTATATCCTTATGCAGAGGGGAAGCAAACCTGCCATCTAGAAACTACTAAGGAGTTCGAGATGGAATCAAACAGCAGAAAGGCAAATCAGTGAGTCCTTAAAAAATAAAAACCCTGATTTTATTTTTATGTGGTAAAGAAGAAAAAGAAGAAGTATGCATGTACGTATGTGGGTGTATCCGTGTGACTATACGCTACATGCGTACGGGGCCAGAGGAAGGTTATGGATCCCCTCGGAGGTGGAGTTACGGGCACTTGTGAGGCGCCTGCCGTGAGTGCTGGGAACTAAACTCTGGTCCTCAAGAAGAGCAGGTGCTCTTAACTGGAGGCATCTCTCCAGCCCCATAGGTAGGTGTATCTTTTTATACTGCAACAGTAAAATAAAATGTCTGCTTTAAGTATGACACACAGATAAGGCGGCTGAATGGAAGTAAGGATGTATTTCCAGGGCACAGCAAAGGACAGCGAAAATCAAGACACACTTGCACCCACTTTTATCAAAACTTAGCATCATGGTACTTCAGGAAATGGGTCAAACGCATTGTAATACCTGATGACCTGAAGCCCTCAGTTGGCCCATGAGATGCGCCCAGCCACTTGGAATGACACCTGCTTGCCAGAAGCTTACAGTATAGAAACACTGACTAGCCAAAGAAACATGCCTAAAAATGGCATTTTTCTAAACCACAAATTGTGACCTGTGAATCGATCTGGTGGAACTCTGTCAGCATTCTTCTTTCTGACGAAAGAAAACGGAATATAGCAGAAGTAGGCAGAAGGCACCTAACAAGGGTAAAGGCTGCTTTATGAAGCCAGACGTGTGGCGCCTCATGCCTTGAAGCTCAGCCCTGGGGAGGCTGAAACTGGAGAAATGCAGTAAGCAGCAGGCCAGCCTGGGCCACAGTGAATTCAAGGCCAAATATACCATGATACTCTGCATCAAAACAAACCACAAGACCCACTACCTTGTGCAACATTTCATTCACATGTAGGTGTATGCAGTAGGTCATGATGTCCTCATTATTGTGAGGTTTTTGGGTTTTTTTAGATTAGGAAGTCATTATACAGAGAACTAAGTCTAAAGCCAAAGGACCCAGGCTGACTAACAATCCTTAATCCTCAGCCCCAGTTCAAGCTCTCTGCTCAAGATGAGCCTATGGAAACCTATTCAAGAGCTAGAGACAGAGAGACAACAGACACAGACACAAAGACAGAGACTTTAACAGGGCAGGGGCAAACTGAGGCAAGCCCATGTTTGGACGCCGGGCCTTGACACCTTCCCCAAAACAATCTGCTCAAGCTCTCTTCGCTCTGGATGGACCCACGGCAACCTATTCAAGAGCTCCTTGACACACACACACACAATGGCCACACAAAAACAGAGAGAGGACGGACAAGTCTCAGCCAAGCCCATGGCTGGCCTTGCGATCCTGCCAGCTTCCCAACAGCCCCAAGGCGGTGCCTACAAACTAGTGCAGCTAAGCAACCTTGGAGCGAAGCTCCTCCTTCCTCCACTGACTGTCAACAGTTCGACTCCTCCAATCAACTTTTCCTCAACTACAACTTCTGCAATCACTTCCTGTGACCTCTTTAGAGGTGCAATCCCCGTCCCTTCCTTACCTGTCTTCCTACTAGCAGTCCCAGAAGCCTGTACTTTCTATTCTTAACACACAGCTTACCTCAGATCCTTTTGCACCATTCCCAAGAAGCCAGGATAAAGTCTCCTGGAAGCTCCCAATCTTAATACGACTTGGGGCAAATGCATGCTCCCCAAATTCCTATCAAACTACATGCACTGAGCGGTCCTGGAAGGGATAGGCCTAGTGAACAGGAGTATAGGAACCGCTGCTCTTTCTCACTAAGACACCAAACCTTACAGGTGGGGACAGATCCTGACTTGACACATCTAGTTGTTTTCATCATTTTCCTTGGATTCTGTGATTCCCACCCAGGGAGCATCTTCCATGTCCCAGGCCTCAGGGAAGCTGAGAGCATCTGGCTTGCTCCCGCTGCCCAGCCTCCCTCCATCAGTGCCCTGGCCGCCCAGGCCTGGCCTCCTGCCCTCAATGCCTCTTTTGGGAGAGCTCGCCTTGGGCCTCCAGCCCGAGGAGCGGCGGCCGGGCTACACTCACCCCTCGGCCCGGGAGGCGGCGGCTCCTCGGGCTTCGCCTCCGCCCGCCCGGCCACCGCCGTCGCCGCCTCTCGGCTTCCGGCCTGCTCCCGGCCGGCCCCGGACCGGCTCCGCTTCACCACGACCCCCTCTCTAGCCTCCGGAGCCCAGTGTCCTGCATTGACCCGGAAGCAGCTTTCCGGAGACCCCCCAACAACAACACGTGACCCCGCCGCACGTGTCACGTCCGCTGCGTGATTGGGAGGGGCCGGAGGAGCTGAGCCTCCTAGAGCAAGCTGCGGTTGCCATAGCAACCCGGATGATGGCATCCACTTAGAGTTGATCAGAAACGCACTCCTCTGCTTGCTTTTCTTACCCGGGAGCAACAGGGGAGCACCCCCAAGTCTAAAGACCAATCACTTGCAAAAGAAATGTCCTTGAAGAAAGGAGCCCTGTACTGAACCTGGCCAGACACACCTGCAGTATTGGCCTGACTCAATGTGACCCTGACTATTTGTGACACTACCTCTACCCGACTTCACTGGCCTCATCTATAAAATGGCCTGTAAGATCTCTATACTTCATATACATCTAGGTGTGGGGGACAGTCTGACCTTGATTCTGTGCCCCCTCCAGTCCTGTGGCACCTGAAGCCTCCGATGTTAACATTTACAGCTTTCGTCTGTTGAGTGTTTTATAGCCACAGCCACTGAACACACAAGTTCTTTCAAGACTCCCACAAACCTCCTAAAGGGCATCTTTTGTAGACTTGAAGTAGGGAAGTCGAGTGATCTGCTTGAGACCACCTGCTTAGTCAAAATGGCCGAGTTGAGATTTGAAACCAGGTCAAGCTAGCTCCAAAGACAATATGCTTCATGCTGGGCCATGCATGCAAGGCCCCAGCTCCAGAAGCCTCACGCCTGGCTGTTTGCTTCTGTGCTACTTTATTCATTTCTTGGCAGACACTGCCCGTGGGATAGAGATGGCGCAGGCTCATCCTGAGGAGGACTCAGCCTTGCACAGATAAGAGAGTGGAAATTCTAGGAGTCAGAGAGCTCTCTTTTGTGTGGTGTGTGTCCAAAGGATGTGGGGGAATGCCATGAACATGCATGTATATATTGGTTCCTAAAGAGAGGAAAACAAAAGTTCTTTAAGTGAGTCCAAGTGGAGCTTACCACCCTCCGTCCCTGGGGACTTAAATTGGTCGTCTTGTTTTGTCTTGTCTCATAGGTGGAACTTCAGCTGGAGGGAGACATGAGAAAGAGCTGGTTAAGAAAAACGTCCTGAGGTCAATGAGTCAGGTAGTGGGCTTAGAGTACTCAGACAGGCCACTGTCTCCTGCCCTGGAAAGTACTTTGCAGACACCTTAGGAAGTGAGGACTTTGAGGGACTAGGGTCATCGCAGGACCACAACTAAATGCAGCCTCAGTGGGGAGGACCATAAGAAGAGCAGAGTGAACTGTAAACAGAAGGGGATGGTCTGGAGCAGAGGTCTGCCTTCTGGATACCCTGCTCACGCTCACATACTTCTGCCTGAACACCCTGTAGATACTCAAGAAATACTTAGGAATGCAGGTGCCTCGTGAGCAATGAGGGGAAGGTAAGAGCGGCCTTTCATTACTCGTAACAAGTACTGCTGCAATGGGTGGAAACACACATAGACAATGAGTGTGAAAGTCCCCTTACAGAACAAACCTAGAGATTAATGTCTCCACCCATCTCTTGCCGACCTCCTCAGGTCAGCTAGAATCCTCTTTCTAAAACTTTAATCAGACTGTATCACTCCCTGGAGCTTAAAACCCTTCCTGAGACTCCCAGGCTTCAGACATCATCTCAGGATGAAGCCTGCCGTGAGCAACGTGCTCCTTAGAAGGTGCTGATTTCCCAACCTCATCTCTCACCCGTCTCCTGTTGTTCTACAGCTGCTCCATCAGTCTGCTGAGCCACTAGCTATGAGTTGCTACTTACTTTTGTTTTTACGAAGACAGGGGATTTGGAGGTTTATCCCGGTTGTTAGAATGCTTTGCCAGTGTGGAGCACGCACTGGCTCCAGCCACCACACCTCTGTTATGTGCTGCATCTCTGAATCACCAGCAAATGGGAGACTGTAGCAGGAGCACCAGGCCTTCAAGGATGCCCGTGGTGAGTTTGGCGTCAGCCTAGGTGGCAAGACATCCTGACTCAGATCAGTAAGCAAATGAATAAATAAACACACGAATAAGTAAACAAATAAATGAGGGGCTAAAGATGTGGATCCTTCGTAAACCCCTTGCCATGTTGACCAACGTTCTGATAGAATCCTAGAAATGACCCCACCTCTACACACACACACACAGAGCACAGAGAAACATAGACACATGCGCACACACACCCCAACCCAAGTCAAATTAAGGTTTCCTTAGTCACATGACACTAGTATCACTGTAGGTGTTGTCGTCACTTATGGCTCCCGGCTATCATATTGAATAGTTCACATACGGAATATTTTATCACAGAAGCTTCTAGTGGGCAGTGACTCACTAGCATATCTGCACGGGTCGTGCTCTGTAAAAATTCCTCTGCTCAACCACTTGGTTGAAACGTTACTATCTTTTGAGATGGAAAATTGCACATGATTGCTTGCTTGTTACAAGAATTTAAGCATCAGTGTAGGCAGGAGCTAGGTCGATGCTATATGGGCCTCAGTGGAGGGTGAAATTAGTTTTGCTGTATTCATCATCAATTTCCCTTCATTCCTAAAGCATCATCCTCTAGAAAAAAGAGTACATAGACATTGGGACAAGATGAAAGGGAAAGATGACAAAAGGACAAGTATCCAGTCATTTTATTAGAAATTGTGGATACTTTGATCATTTTGATCTATGAAACAGCAATTTTACAGAGTTCAACCTAATAATAATGAGAAAATTAGGCTGGGTATATGATACATGCCTGTAATCTCAGGGCTCACGAGGCCAAAACAGGAGGATTATTGTGAGTTTGAGGCTAGCCTGGTCTATAGAGTGACACCCTGAGAAAGGAAGGACAGAAAGAAGGGAAGGAGGAAGGAAGGAAGGAAAAGGGGAGGAAAGGAAACGGGGAGAAAAAAAGAAAAGAGACGACTTTTGGAACAATTAGAGCTGTTTTCATCCATTTTCATGACTTCCTTGTGGCTCAAATGGGTTAAACAAAGGCAGGCTCTGTTCTAACAGTGTATGGCAATTCCTGAAGCAGTCAGTCTGATTGACCAGTTGAGTTTCTGACTCTTCATCAAAGCAGTTCTCTGAATGCCCTAAGAATGATCTAACCACTTTCTGAGTTCTCACTGTGCCAGATGCTGCTGGAGGTATTTTACATTGATTAGTCCTTTTAAATCCTCACAGTGATCTCGTGCAGTACATCTTGTACTATCGGATCTATCAAGAGAGAGTCAGCTTAGACAGCACACCCAGCAACATACAGATAGTAAATGGAGAGGCCAACTTCATACTGAGGTCGGTCTGACACAGGAGCCTGAGTTCATAATAGCCCTGTAATGAGGGAATGCCAATGGAATGTGAAGTCTCAGCCAGATGTTTGGGTGTCCTTTTGAGTCAGCAAATGCCTATTTTATAATCATTGTGTATCTGTATGTCTTGGGCTTAGTGTGGTGGGCAAACAAATACGGGTATGACAGGGATGCTACAGTGTGGTTAGAAAGATAACATGCACACACAAAAATTGGTAGAGCTCAATAAAGGAGTGGAGGTACTTTTATTTGCTTAGTTTTATTGCTGTTTGCTTTGCATTTTATTTTATTAAGGTATGGTCTTGTTCTGTGAGCCAGGCTGTCTTCAACCGCACAACCCTCCTATGACAGTCAGCTTCCAACATACTGGGATTACAGGTATGTGGCACTCCACCTGCCAAGAATGTTAAAAGGGAGTAAGGGTGTAACACTTTTAGTGGAGGCAGGAACATGGAGGGAAGAATGCAGCTTCTTGACTTGAAAATAATAATAAGTAGTTGGAAAAAACAGTTCTTAATATCTGTCCTAGTGTTTTCTTTCATTAGTCGCGTATGTCTCTTAAACTCTTGGCCTTAGATCATCAACTACTAAATAAATTGGATATTATGCTGGATAAACTACCAGCATAAAGCACCCAAAATGATATGTAGTAGGTTGTATAGATTACATTGTATACATTGTACATATGTGTGTTTTCAAATTCACATGTATTCTGACTCACTCTGGCGCAGGTCTCTTTAAATTCTCAGCTTCTGCATTTTATTTTTAAGAACATAACTGATGTTAGGGCAGGTGCTACTCAAGAGACTGAAGCAGGTGGGTCACAAGTTCAAGGTCAGCCTGAGCAACTAAGTAAGACTCTCTCTAAAGGGGGGGGAGGGCACTGAGGATACAGCTCAGCGGTAGTGTTTGTTTAGCATATTTGGGGCTCTGGGTTCCCACAAAGAAAACAAAAATGACTGATAATTTTTAGAATGTGGTCTATCATGTCAAGGTTCATGAGCAAACAGAGATGAAAAATTTTTAAAATTTCAGAGCTAGACTGAGAACTGATTAGGAAATATCAGCATTTCCTTCTTGGGCAGAGGCTGCTCTTAAAAAAGTGCTAGACATGCTTTCCTGCAGTTTCCATAGATAGATCAGAGAGAAGAAACATCATTTCCAGGAAGGCCTCCACTTACTAAAGCCATTTGCAATAAATTGCTGGAAGCCTCGGTAACCCCTCTTAATTTTTATTGGAAAGAATGACATACAGAAAAGTGAACATACTTTGCATAAATGTGTCTTCGTGAAGGAACTTCTCTGTCCATATCAGCCCCACCACTCCATGTCACAGGACATTGTGAATTCCTGCCCACTCCATTCTCCCCAACTTTAACTATTACTCTGATTTCTAATGTTGTAGCTTCTTCCCTCCATTTATACAAATGGGATCAAATGAGATGAATTATTTCACAAGGGGAGCTATAGAGTCATTTATGTTGTTGCCTGGAGCTGTGGCTTATCCACTGTTGTCATTAATCAGTATTTCATGTTAAACACTGCAGCTGATTTTTCTGTTTCCTGTTGATGGACATTAGAAATGTGTCCAGTCTGAGGCTTTTAGGTGGAATGATCTTGTGCTTGCTTCTCAAGGCATACATAGTTATTGCTTTAGGAAGCAAGTTCAGAAACCAACCATAGATTCTAGCTT